GCGGTGGAACGGCGCGTTAAAAGGATGTTGCAGCCGTTAACGGGCGTCCCGCCTGCATCCGGCCCCAAGGGGCTCTCCCTCTCTTCCCCCGGCACAGAGGCCGGTGCTGGCCGTCTGCTGGTTGTTTTTTCAGACCTGGGGGCCCGTTAACGGATCGGCCGAGTAACGGCAGCGCTGGGGACGGAGGAGGCGGGTACAGCTCGGGCGCTGCCTCCAGCTGTCCGTGTTCCTCCCCTGCCTCCTGGGCACAAGCCGGTGCTGAGTAAGTGCCAGGTCATCCCTGAGGTGTTGCTCCTGCTCCACAGCTGTAAAACTTTACCTTGCTGGAAGTGGGAACAAGAGCACTTTTAAAAATATTAAAGAAAAATAAACATGTCATTTATTTAATCTTTTTAGCTAATCGGTATTTAGCTGATAAGTATTCTGACAGACTGGCCTCTTTGTGCCACCTTCAGCATCACTGTGTATATACATTGTATATCCCCCTTTGCTGGTCTTCATAGCATATTCTTCTCTCTCATTTTATTTATTTTTTTTAATAAAAAGGAAAAAGAACTGTAGAATGAGATCATGGCTTGTGATATAAGCATCTTTGTATAAACTAACACAAAGCAGTCAAATACACACATTTCACCTTGTTTAACTCTGGAAGTATAATTTATAGAGTATTTTCATTTTGCCATCTGAAGGGCATTGACAGCAAGACAGCAGAATGAAGACCAAGTGCTGTAGTCGATCTGCGTTTTGCTCCAAGACCACCATCTATACCTTTCTGCTTGGCGGAGTGTTTATTGCGCTGGGCTCGAGTCGAATCCTCCTGATGAAGTATTCTGCCAATGAAGGTGCTGTTGGGCAATAAACGTACCGCAAATAAGAAAAGAGTTGACGTTTGGGGTAAAAAGGGTACCCGGAAGCCTAGTTCTCCACCTGCAGAGTTCTTAGCATAACCATTCTATTGTATAAATAATGACGTGTATTTCTGTACTGGAAAACTTCTGTGTAGTCACTGGTCTGACATAAAGTGATAATTTGAGTTGGAAGGTCTATGATCTATATGGAGATTTGCCCTTAAAAGATGAGGCAACGAGTTGCTTTATAGGTGATTTTCAAAGACTAAATTGTTGTGTAAGCACTCTCAGTAGTACATGACTGAAATACTTGTCTTGCAACAGGCTTAGGAGAAAAGTGGTATCATAGTGGGCGTGCTGTAACTGGCTATATTGCTGCTTCTCCTTGTGCCAAGTATTGGCAAAGTACGCCAAGAAAGAAAAGATACAGGCCTCGAAGAAGGTGGTGCCATTTTTGTGAGGTGGAAAAAATAGCATATTGCTATTTGGGGAAAACATTCCCATTTTAATTTTTTTTTTAAAACAGGGATGTTCTTGAGTTCTTCCAAAAAGTTCTGCTGTAAACTGGGACCAAATGAGGAAAGATTTCAATCCAGAAAGGACGTTCAGGAAGTTGTATATCATAAAAATTGGAATATTTATAATGAAAGTGCTGACATAGCCTTTTTTATTTATAGAAAGTAGCTAAAATTCTGACTGAAGAGGTTGAAATAGTTTATTGCTCTAATTATGAATGCAGGAGACAGAATCTGATTGTGTACTCTTATGATTTGCTGAATCCCACAGATAACAAATACGATTACCTTCCTACAACAGTGAACATATGTTCTGAAGTAGTAAAGCTGGTCCTGTGTGTGGTGCTGGCAGTATGGGTTAAGAAAAAAGGTAAGTACCTAAGTTTAAAATAGCTAAAATGTGCGGCCTTTCTAAGATTTGCTGTACTTCATATCCCTTTTATGTTGCTTTTTTAAAAAATGATAGATTCACATGTAGTAGTATGGAGCAAATCCTGCTAGTAAGGTTTGCTGGAATTGTATCTTCCATGCAGAATTATAACTATACTTTTATAACTCTACATTGTGTTGTAAATTCAGGTGTTCTTGAGTTGTGTGTATGGTAGTTGAAAAGGGGACAGGTAGTTTGAATTAGAAAGTGTCATGAAAACACAGTCTTAACATTTTCAGAATTTTAACATGGTGTCATGCTGGGATGATGTGAGTCACCTCACTCTGAAGTCATGACTGAACAGAAACTTATAAATTGCACTAACTCAAGGATTAGCCTTTACGTTCTGTTGTTCTGACCGCTTTCATTTAAAAGCACCACCACCTTTCACTGAAGAGGCTGTGTTGTATGTGTAGTGGTATTTGAGTCAGAAGCAACATATCAATGTTATAATTCAGGGTAGCTTTGTTGTGAAGACATGTCTTGGGGCTGCTGTTCAGAAAAAGTTACGTCAGGCTTCACCAGCTGCTGGTTTTGCATTGAAGGTTATTTTTCTTTTTTCTTTCTTGGCTTTTCTGTCCTGATATAAAAAGGATGAGAGGTCAACTTCATAGCATTTTGAAATGGTAGAGAACAGATGTTTAAATTGGAAGAGGGTGTCAGGCACCAGAGACTCATCTTAAATTGAACTGCTGGTTTTGTCTGCTTCTCCCATTTAACGGTGCTGATGAAATTTTTACCTCCACCATTTAGTACAGACATACCCAAGACAGTAAATACATTCAGTCAGTGTTTGCTGTCATTGTCTACTGCTGATTACACATTTTCTGGTTTTCCTTCTTTTCTTTTTTTCTTCCAGATGTCTTGAGTTTTGCTGAATTCAAAGTGTGGGTGGTTCAGAAGAGGATTAAATAACATTGTATAGTCTTAAATCTGTGCTGACAAAGTACTTATGTCACCAGCTCTAGAGTAGTCTAAGGTTTACCATAGTTTTCCTCCTAAAGTGTGTGTCCTGAATACCTAAGTGGATGTCGTTCTTTGTGCCTTATCCATCCGTCCTTCCTTCCTTCCTTCTTCCTATATGTTCTCATGTGCTGTGGGCTACAGAGTTCTGGTTTATTTTGTATTTCTGACATTACTGGCTGTCTTTTGGGTGCTATATGAATAGATCCACTGTCTGTGTCATCGTTTCAGTTCTAGATTTGATTGATAATTACCAGAAAATCATACCCACTAATGATGTCACTATTGTGTGCAGACTTTGGGGTGCTTTTTGTCTTTCAAAGAATGGTTGATGGTTGAACTTTTGCTCCCAGTGGACAAATACTCTGATGAGGGTAACAGATTCCGTGATGTTTTGTCTGTTGAAGCAAGGAGGTGAATGCCTGGAGACACAGGATTGCTGCTCTAGCTATGTGTTCTGCCCAGGATCTGTCCTTTATGTTGCCAGAGGGCTGTGGTACCTTAGTTTTTTTCAATCCAACAGTGTTCCTGAAAACAGAACAGTGGTACCCATTCTCTTATAAGGGAATGGGCTTTTGAAAATAAGAAGGATGTCTTTCTTACTGATTCCTTTTCCTTCCAGAAGGTTGTTTGGATCATCCCTTTGAATGTCTTTCCTGGAAGAATTTTTGTAATTCCATGAAATGGTCAATTCCTGCCTTTCTTTACTTTTTGGATAACTTGATTGTCTTCTACGTACTGTCCTACCTCCAGCCAGTAAGTATGCATATGCTGAGTAAAGTATCTTCCAGTGTCTTAGTGGTAGGTGACATTGCCCTTGGACTATCTGCAGTTGAAATGCTGGCAAGGCAAGATTTGCAGGTAAAAGAATGATCTGTTACCTGACCAGCTAGACCTTCCCGTTCTCTTGCCCACTGGTCAGTGTTACACAGCTCTCAGTAGGGGAGACTCTCTGGGTGTTTTCTCCATCCAAAGTGATTTAGAAATAGGCTGAATTGCTTAACTACTAGGCAGGTTTTCGGTGCTTTCCCTCCTTTGGTTTCCTCAACTCTATATTTTTCTTTCAATGCATTTGCTCCTCTTGCTAGTATTTGAGCTGCACTTTTCTGTGCAGCTTCTACCACTTTATTTATGTGACTTCACATGATGACTTGTTTTCTTTCCTCACTGACTCCAAAGAAAAGTAAGTAAATGTCATCCCACAAAGGGAGTAGGTGTAACGGGAACTGAGAAGGGGAGGGAGAAAACTGTTTGACTCTTTATTTTTTGCATTTCTTTATCAGTTGTGTCTAAGCACAAAATTTATTTGGTATTTTCTTCTAGCTACCTTCATCTTTTTGCATGAATCTACGTACGCTCAGGAAATAGTACAATTTTTGCACTTTCTTTTATTTTTCTGCTAGGATACTTTTTTGTTCAGAATCTGTGTTTGAAGTTAGATGGAAACAGGTGTTTAGTGCTTGCTATAAAATATGATGGCAGCCCCTGTTTGGCATTAAAAATAAGTATAAATGTTTCTATTCTGTCTCTTTCAGAATTTCTCTTTAAAATGTTGTCCTTCTAGGTGTACAGTTCTGTCAGGGACAGACCAAAGTCTAGAATAGGACCTGACTGCGAAAATCTAATTAAAATCAAGTTGGATGTCTTGAAATAACGTGCATGGGTGCTTGGTTCTGTGGTTTGTTGTGTGTGGTATTTTGGTGGTGAGTTGTTTTGTTTGGTGGGGGGTTTTTTGTTTTGTTTTGTTTTGTTTTTTTACTCAGGAAGGAAATTCCATTATAATATTTGTAATAGCAAAGCCTGATGTTTAGAAGGTTACATAAATACTGTTACTTTCTTAAGCAATTCATTTTGGCTCAGTTAAGGACATCTTTTGTAATATGCACAGCTTTTATATTTTACATCCCCTCCCCCAGACACCTCGTCTCTCTTTCCTCAGAACATGTGCTCTAAGATTCCTCTTTTTCAGAACTCCTAGTGTCTTAGACCTTTTAACTGAATATACTTTATGAGGGTTAGCTGAAATTGTAACGTTATCATGGTAATCGAGTATTAAAATCACTAACTAAATACCTGTAAGATAGACTACCTTGACAGTGTACAAGACTGAAAGTGAAAAGATGAAGGCAGGATGCTTGAAAGAAGGAAGCCATACCTGACTGAACTTGGTTTCATGTGACTTTAAAAACTTAAGTGGTACCTAGGTGAGCAGTTGCTTGAAGTACGGAGTTGCTTTGGTGAGGTTTTTTTGTTTGAAGCTTCGGCTGTAACTATGAATACTCTTTAGTGGCTAAGATTTCCTAGTGATAAGACTTGTTTTTTATAGACTTTGTGACGTAGAAGTTAGTGGTGTGGTGATCTTTGGCATATTTTTTTCTTATTCCTTCTCATCTAGAACAGAGGTCTCTTGAGACCTCAGAGAACAAGGCAACTCAAAATTAATTCCTTGTAACTATCTTGCTATAGATTTTGATCATACTATGTTACCAGAGATGTTGGATGGGGGCTTTGACTGTAAAGCAAAACCGGAGTACACATGGAACACTTGTACATTTTGCATCAAGGCTCTTTTTTTTCTGGAGTGCTCTCTGCCATATTCACTTGTGTATTCAATATTTTTCTCATCCCATAGTGTTGACCTGACATGAATATTTATTGAGTGATAATCTTGCAAAGCAGAAAGTCTATCTGGGGTTTCTTAGGCAGATGCCTCATGTGTCAGCCTTCAGCTTACTTGAGACCCTGTGTCATGCTGTTTCCTGAGATTTATTATTCATCAGGTAGTATTTTGGAGTGGAGTGGAACTAAGGTAATTAGAAAAGGGCCTGTGCTTTTCCTGTGGTAAATGAAAAAGGTTCTGCTGTTGCAGAATTGGGAATGTCAAAATGCAGATTAGAAAGTTCAGGATGAGGTCTGTGTTTTGCACTTCTGAATCCATATATGTTTTTGTGTAATTTTGTCTAAAAAAGTGACCTCACTCTGAGGCTGAATTGGAGGAAAGAGTTCAGGTGTCTAGATTTTTGTACATGTACTGATACACAGGGCAGTCCTGAATAGCACACAATTTGGGACATTTGGGACAAGGAGGTTGCAGCTTGGGATTATGGTCATGGATTAGGGCAATGTCATTATTATATTGTTCCCAAATTGGACAGGAACTTTAGAGTTGTCTTCAGTTGTACTTTGAAATAAGTGAATTTTTTAGTACAGCTGCAGTCTTGAAAATTCAAGCTGAGCAGTTCATTACCTTTGATAGATGATACAGCAAGTGCACTTGACTTGCAAGAAGTTTTTTTCCACAACTGCCTTGTCCAAGCCTGGCATTTCATGAATGCTGCAAGCTGGCACCGCAGACAGAAGCAGCCTCAACCATTCCCTCTTCTTTTCCTCTTTTCATTTTGGAGCAACTTCCTCCTTTGTGCTGACAACTGTTTTTGCAGCTGACTGGTCGGCCTGGCTGGGGAACTGATCTGACAGAAAACTAAACCATATTCTTTTTTGTTAAGTAAGTTTTCTGCTGGAATGGTTTCCTCACATCTTTGGTTCAGTACAGCTTTCCCCACTACAGTGGAACTTAGGCTCTGTGGTTTGCTTGAGATTTTTGAAATGGGACTCAAATGTCATTTTAGGGATGTGTTATTCTGCCACATGGGTAAGGAAGAAAATTCAGTACCAGGATGATGCCTTTCACTCTGGCACCTTGCAGAAAGGCAAGCAGTTGAAGTTGGTGGGCTTTTGACGTATAAAACTTTGTTCCCCTTCTTCTCTTTTTAGGCAATGGCTGTACTCTTCTCAAATTTTGTCATTATAACAACAGCCCTTCTCTTCAGGATAGTGTTGAAGTAAGTAGTATTTACTAAAGTACATTAAATTTTGTATCTTCCTAGCCTTGGTGAAGAAGTTAAGCTATGTTCTGTCTCTTTGTCTGATGGGAACAGTAATTCTCTTCTCTTGTGGCTATACCAACTTGGAGAGGTGGGTTTGTTTTCTATATCTGAAGGTGTAGGAAATAATGGCTTATTTAGAGTCCCTACATATCTCTACATATATGGTCAACTGTAAGAGAAAACAACTGAAATCATGATTATATAGGTATTGGGTGGTCAGAATGAAGGTTTGGGTACTTTCATTTGTACATTAAATCTCATATTTCATGATTAGTAGTACTTCTTTCTAGTCTGTTGTAATTCTCAATTTAATGTAAATGTAATCTAACAAGAGGGGATGAGATATGTAGGAGTGAAAGGTAGAGGTGCCTTTGGTAATATTGTGCCAGCCCTGATGTGTTTCTGATCAATTGCATAGTATGTTTTAAAAAGTAATTGTATGTCCCTTCTTCATTTTTCATGTGACAAAAGCCAGACTGTCCTATGTGTTCCATTGTGCCTGATCCGTGCTTTTTATGGTGCAATTTAGATTCAGAAGAGACTGACAGGAAAACGGATATTAACTGCACACTCTAATCAGAAACGTGCAGCAAAGGTGCATTTTCCACAGGTGTTAGTGTACCAAAACAGTGTCTGATAGTCTGACTTGAAATGCTTTTTCTCAGTTGTTTAGTTTTATGTCCCTTGTGATGTCACAGTTTACTTAATCTTCCAAATTTCTGGTTTTACCCAAGATAAACAGGCTTTGCTTGAGTGAAAAAATAGTATAAATAGTTTTATAAATTACGTTCATAGATTTATATGATTTACCATCATAAAATACTGGAGAAAGGGCAGAAAATCACAGGGGAAAAGTGAAATGTGCTGAAAGTTTGCCAAAGAGGATAATGATTTGAATATCTGTGATTTCTTTTTATCCATCAGACCTATGTTCCCTTGGAGACAACAGTTGCTTTTAACTTGGCAGGCAGTCAGTGTCTAGAACTAACTTGATCTTGAAAGGCTTTCCTTAAATTCTCTCTGCAGAATACTCCATTTTGGATTTCTGTGATTGCCAGGCTGGGCCCCCCTTGCCATAGAAAAGTGTGCTGTGTTTTGGAATTTTACTGTCAGTTCTGAAAAGCCAAGATTTTTCTATGCGTCTGTCTCTGCCTTGTCTGTGGCATTATGTGTTTTATAGGGCTTGTTCTCCAGTCACTTAATTTGTTTCTAAAGTTGCTGGGTTTTTTTGTCTACTCCTAGGCGAAAACTCTCTTGGGTACAATGGGCATCTCTGGTGATTTTATTCCTGTCCATCGTTGCCCTGACTCTAGGAAGTGGAGGCCATCAGCAAAGCTTGGCTGCACACGGATTCCATCACAATATGTTTTTTAGTCCATCTAACAACTGCCTTCTCTATGCTGGACCCGAGGAAGCATGCCTGGAAAAGGACAACTGCGTAGCACCAAGTTTCCTTCCGAGCTTTCAGTGGAATGTCACTAGTACCATGGCAGGAGCATTGAAACCTCTTCGCCTCAGCCTGGGCCATCTGCTTATTCTAGTGCAGTGTTTCATTTCTGCCCTGGCTAACATCTACAATGAAAAGATCTTGAAAGATGGGGATCAGCTTGGTGAAAGTATCTTCGTGCAGAACAGCAAGCTCTATGCCTTTGGTGTGCTGTTCAATGGGCTTATGCTGGGGCTGCGGGCCAAGGACCGGAGGCAGATAGAGAATTGTGGCTTCTTTTATGGCCACAACGTCTTCTCAGTGGCTCTCATATTTGTCACAGCTTTCCTGGGGCTGTCTGTAGCCTTCATCTTGAAGTTCCGAGACAATATGTTCCATGTTATGACTGCTCAGATCACCACTGTCATCATCACCACTGTCTCTTTCATCATCTTTGACTTCAGGCCTTCTCTAGAGTTCTTTTTGGAAGCTCCTGTAGTGCTGCTTTCCATATTCATCTATAATGCCAGTAAACCAAGAGGCCTGGAATATGCCACTCTGCGGGAGAGGGGCAAACTTGTCAAAGGAGATGCGTGGGAGAGGTCAAGTGGGGTAAGGCTTTTCATAATTTGTCTCTTCAGGTTTCTCTTTTGTTTTGCCTCCATTTATACTGTGCAATGTTTGGAAGATTCATTTTGCATGTGACCAGACTCATCCCTCAACTTGAAACACAAAACCTCCTCAGTATTTCTTAAAATCCTTTAAATTGATTTGGTATTGCTTTGCATATTCCACTTTTTCGATTCATGAAGCCTAGGTAAGCATTGCTTTCCTGCTGTGACCATAGACAGTCCGGTGAGCAACTTTAGCTTTGTACAAATCCTTTCTGGAAACCTTTATAACCAAAATATTTTACTGGCCCTAGGCATCCAGAAATTAGAATGGATGCCTGGGAAATAGTTGTACTTAAGTAGAACTGATAAATCTGTGTAGCTGAGCCCACATCATGAAGAAGTTAATGTATTTGATGTTAAGATTCTTTCTACCTTAATAGTCAAGGATATCTGAAGACAAAAAGGTAATGTTTAAGTATGGAGTTCTAACATGGTTATTTTGTTACAAAACATTTCCTCCAGGCCTGTTAGTGGGTTTTGGTCTAGTTTGAATATTAATCTAGTTAACTAGAACATGGCAGGGAGGGCTTGCTCTTAGATATGTCACTCAATTGAGCTGAGCAGTCAAAGGGGAAAGGGTTAATGTCTGTGTATTTTTAGTCTGCGTGTACAGATGTGTAACACGCGTTGCAACCAGCAGAGAGTGCTGTCTCCATTTAAATCTAAGAAACATTGAACTTGGAAGAGATGTTTTCCAGAAACTCTGCATGGTGCCTTTTTAGGTTGTTGTTTAACAAGCAGTAAGTAACACAAAGACGTATATTTTTGGTATACCAGACGTTATCTTATTTTAGCACTTTCAATTAGGGAGCTCTGGTAAAAACAAATAGCACTACGTGAGCAGGCTTCCTGATGAAAGAAGGGCCTACAAGCTATTTTAGGGAGTGAGTCACTGAAAAGTGTTAAAGACACAGGGGCTGTTTTTTATGAGCATGTACATCCTAGAACAAGATTATTACACGCTGGTAAGAGATTTAAGTTACAGGGCCTTGCTTTTGTGTAAGTGATGCCTTCAAAATAAACTTTACTTTTTTTTTTTTTAATTTTTGGTATTAATAACAAGATAACTTTTGCTCACATTGTTCTCTTTTGCTTCTGGTTCCTGTAGGATGGAGAAGAATTTGAGAGATTGAACAAACCAAGCAGTGACATTGATACAGATGAAGATTCCCTCTAGCATGAGGCTGGCTCAAAAGAGTGCTATTACTTACAGTGAGGGAATGTTAATGTTTTATTAACATAGAGAAGGGTCATTTTTCCCCACTTGCAGAGCAATTGTGACTGTTTTGCGGCTGGATTTCAGAGGTGGATGAGGAAAACATTCAAGCCATATATATGGAGAGCTGTATTCACTCTTCTTATCCATGTAAATCAGGAGTTCAAAATCTGCTGAAAGTCACAAAATTTGTAACTGCTGCAAACAAGAAAAGGCTTGGACCCTGGACTCAGTGGTCTCGAGTGACGTGCTACATTGTGGAAGGCAGTCCTGGCCTCTAACCATATGTCTTTCACCACTTTGGTTGACTGTCACTGCAACTTCCTGTATGAATTCCTTGGTTAGCAAAGCGGAGATGAAGCTGTTTTCCACCTTGCAGAAGTGATATGAGCGTTGATTAATGTTTTTGCTGCATCTTGCAATGTACAAATGCTCCAGTAAGTTTTCTTTTCAGGAATTGAGGTATTACTGGTAACTTCATAAATAATGAGGCATGTTGACTGTTTTATTGTACTTTGGCAATTCAGATTGACACATCCCTAGCTGAGTAAAGGAGTCCCTCTGAACCAACCTCATCAAACTTTCACTTGAAAATGTATAATAAATCAAATAATTTGGGTTAAGGGTGTGTTGATCCATCAAACAGGCAGATCTGTAGAGTGTGATTAGAGTTTGAATGGTCTTAATTCTGTCTTCATTCCTGTTTTTACATCAGTGTAACTCTGTACTGACTCCTGTGGAGTCCTATCTTTCTGATTCTCTCTGATGTGACTGAGAGAACAGATTTCACTGTCTTCAGCCACTAGTTCTGCTCACGTTTTCAGTGTGAGACTTGTGTGCCTGTCTCCCAGTGCCTGGGGAAATGGAAGTCTGGAATGCCTTTGTAGCAGATAGTGAATTTTACGTGCAACTTACGTGGCCTAACTTCAAAAGAGCTTGAATAAAACAAGTGTGTTACACAGTATGAATGCATCATAGAGTCTTTTTTGTGTTTAGAAAGGCTATGTGTAGTGAGAGGCTTGGCTTGCACTGAGGCCAATGTCTGAAAACAAATATTATGCAGCTATAGTGATGCCCTTCAATATCTGAAGCACTGAGCAAGAGGGTGCAGGTGGTAGCATCATTTGGTGTTGCTCCACCCTGTCAGACTGATAAAGTCTTGCATTAATTTTGGAGAGAGAGAGAGAAATCCTTCTGCAGAGTGCCAGGCATAGTGATCTCAGAATTACTGTTGAGGCATCTGCTGGATTGTATTTTGAGTGAGATGAAAAATAGACTCCAAATAATTCAGAGAATTTTAAAAGGGGGAAGGGAATAGGGATGCAAGATAAGAGATTCTTGGTATGTTGCTAAAGCCTCTTCTCTCTGAACAGTGGAAAAGATGTTGGTTTATAATTTCCTCCCTTCAAAACTGTGTCTTTCATAGTTGAAAGATACTGTCAAAAGAATTCTTAAGATAAGCAATGAGTTCAGTGTCAAAGCCTCATACCACAGTGTATAGTAATCAGTTAGTGATGCATTTCTCTGTGGACTGAAGACAGTGGTGCCTTTGTTCCCCTCTGCCACCCTGTTTCCAGGCTCCGTGTATAACAGCTTACTTATGCATACTGTATTGATGGCTCATCGCTGTATTAATTAACATACCTCCTGTCATTGATCCATCAAGACGGGCAGCCCATTTCCATATGTGGCCAATGACTGTCAAGTTATAAACTGAATCTAAAACTATTATTTCTTACTTTTTTACTGGGAGTATTAACTTTTTCTAGAATATATTAAGAATAGCTGCACAAAGTGAAATTACTGTTGTGATTGAAAAATTGTCTACAGCTAATCTCATTGTGCTTATATAGTAGGCCATTTCAACAAAAGGAGTCCTAGTTGTTTGCATCTGTATGGAATGAATAAGAAAGCCTATTTCAATGTGAAGTCCAGAAACATGAATTGGTTTATGATGCCTATTTTGGGAAATGAAACTTCAATGCAAAAAAAAAAAAAAAAAAAAAGCTCAAACTGTTAAAGTCTTAGTTGCAATAAGACAGTTTCTTTTTCCATTACATACAGCTTTGCAATATATACCCGCCTGAGTTCATCATCTTTTTCAATCACAGCTACCAACTTTAGCAGGTATTTCCAAGAAGAGTGAAAGTACTGTTAGCTTTAAATTGCTTTGCATTTACATGAGCAGTAGCTTTTTACATGAACTTTTCCAGAGAGCTTTGCCTTGCATTAAGTCAGAACACAGAAATCAGCCTCATACCTCTAATGACAGAGCATCAAACCAAAGATGAATGTCTTAAAACCCATATGTTTGGCCTTCCTGCCTGAAACATCTGCATTAGGAGAAATGAGATACGGAAATGACTGATCTGCAGATATTATAAAGTGCACTTAGTTCTTGCTTTCAACTCTTGTCCTGCTTAATGATTTTTCCCTCTATAAATTTCACCAATGCTATCATGCTTTACTTATTTGCCAGAATCTTAGATTGCACAAAGACACCAGGTGTATAAGTGTTGATCCAAGCACTTACTTGTGCTGTAGAGTTGGTCCTGTCTAACATACAGAAATCTTTCTGTTCTCTTCAGGTTGGAGGTCTCAGAGACATTCTGTTGGATTGGCCAGGCAGGTTTCTTTTAATAGTGGAAGAGAACTGTATACCCTTTTTTGCAGCAACACAAATGTTAACTGCTGTTTGAAAATGGGAAAGGATTTGCATCAGCTTAGCAATAAAAATTGTGTAAAATAACCCAAGTATAACCATGCAGTTCTGTGCAGCTGTACTATCCATGGCAATAGTCGAATTTAGTGTGTACATGAGATTTGTTAGAGGAAGTGACTGTAAACGATTGTCAACTGGAGAGCAGCCCCGGTTAGCAAGGGGGAACTGTTCTATAGAGTTGCATGTTTCAAATAGATTATGTGAATCCCACTTGAGTAAGTATTTCCACTGTGTGGTTGTTGGGAACCTACTCCATGTTGGGAAAAAAAAAACCTTACCATTTTTTTCCCTCAATTGGCAATAGGGAAGTTTATGAGGAGTTTCAAAGAGCAGCATTAGTTTGGCACATAGTCTTTAATGAATGCATTGGGCAGAGAGCTCTTTCTAAGCTGTGATTTAAAGCCCAGATTCACAAACGTTTGAACTTGATAGCTGCTGAGGGTGTTACGTTCCTTCCTCCAGGTTTGAGAAATAGCTTACAAAACCTCCCAGGAAGAGGGATGTGTTCATGTTTCTCTTGTTTATGACAAGCCAATTAAAGTAATACTTATTTTGATTAATTTCAGCTACTTTGTGAATGTAATGACCGAGCCATGGTGCTTGAAAGATAGCCTGTGGATGAAAACAGCCATCTTGGAGCTGAATCAAATTGCATAAATATGTGTAAGAAAAAGGGGTGGGTTTTTATCATGTGGAATCTTTCCACTAAGGGCTGTAGAAATAGGACCTTAATCTCAGTAAGTCTGTCCTCAGAGTGGTGCTGCAGGGATAGATCCAGTGCTTTGGATTTGGTTTGTATTTTGCAAAATGAAGTCTTAATTCAGAGTATTATAGCTTCTGAATGCTTATAGTCTTCAAGATAACTATATGTTGTTGTTGAAAGGATTTTTTGGCTTGATGTTCCTCTAGGCTTTGCTTTTAGTTTTCCATAGGGAGAGGTAGGTTGCAAAACCAGGATTTTTGAATCCTGGTTAGAAGTTTCTGGTAATTTTGAGCCAGTTTGTAATGACGGTGGAAATTGGCACCAGAATGTAGACTAATACTGAGTCCTCCTCAAATTCTATGAATATTTGGATGTGTAGTTTAGGTTGAGAGCCCATCCCAGTCTCCCTTATAAGTGGACAACTTGTTTGGGGCTATCTTTTTAATGCAACTCCCACTGAATGCCTAGGCTGGGTTTGGTGCTTGCACAACTTAACTTTGAATTCTGGAGAGAGGGGAAACAAAAAGGCAATTCGGATCTGGTGTTGCACTCTTTTGTAGGTTAACTGTCTCCTCCTCCTGCTCCGCACAGCACATTCAGTTTCCATGATTTGTAATGTGAGTTTGAAGGGCTTTCATTTAAAGAGTTTGCATGAAAAACAAGATTACAGAAACGTGTAAATGAACACCTGAAATAAAACACCCCGAAGGTGTTTCTCTTTTTGTCTACAGGAGGTGGCTGCTGGTATACTTTCCTCTGCTTTTGCTTCAGCAAATAAAGTTAGGCAGCTGACCCTAATACACTGATGCAATAAGCACTTGTTTTCTAAAACTGAGCTGTGTGACCTCCCATTTTCTTCTAAAAACCTTTCAGTTCTGTGGTTCTTTTTTATAATTTCTCTTTGGGTTGGTTTTTTTTTTTTTTATTTCTTTGTCCACTGCTTTCAACTGTGGAAGTGCTGTAGTTAATGAGATCTTGGAAGCTCTCTGCAGGCAGCAGTCCTCTCAAAATGGTTCTGTCAAATGCCTGTGTTCCCCAACTTAGCTCCGGTCACCTGAGAGAGGTAAGTCGGGAGCTGTACCCTGTGCTGTCTAGACCCTGTGGTACAGAGGACAGCCTGCCTCAGAGGGTGGCCAGGCTTGTGAAGCCAAGGAAGAACTGGCCAGGCCCTGTGACCTCTCCACATCCCTCTGCCTTTCTGACGTTCAGAAGGACAAGCACGGTCTGACCTTTTGTGACTGAGTTTCGAAACAAAGCATCGTTTTGAGTGAACTTGTTGCTTTACCCAATTCTGGTTTTGTCTGGGCCAAAAAAAATTAAGAAAAGGATCAGGAAAATGCTAAAACTCAAACTGTGGGTCATGCTCTGGCCAGCTTAGAGCTGTAGCTTCTCCCTATTCCTGTGCTACTGCTGTGATGGCAAAACCTAGTAAGAGTGCCTTGTTCCATGTAACTATACTTGGCATGTGAACCTGTGTCATGGATTATAAAAAGAAGTGTGACTGGTCAGTCATGCCTTCAACATGAGAAGTGACCACTGTGCCACTATGAAGGCTTGCATGATACCTTAACTTCAGGATATT